AGAAGGAGCTGCAGCCTTTGACTGTACCCACGCTTGTCCATCTTTATCATTTATTACTCGCATGCATCTCCATGCTTTGGCCCTTTACCTTTTAAATACTCATAAGTTTCAATGTATTCTAGTAGTACACTATTGAATTCTAGGATCTGTTTGGTGGAGTAAAATAGTGGAAGGTTAGACATGGGAGAGTGAGAAAAATTAAAAAAAAAAATGAATTTTGAGTGTGTTTGATAGAAAAAAAAAAGTAAGAATAAAGAAAATAGTAAAGATATATTATTATTTTTCAAAATTATTCATAAATACAAATCATTCCAAATTAGAAAAAAAAAAAAAAAAAAGAGGAGAGAAAATGAAAGAAGAGTGAGTAAATGTTGCATATTTATAAAATTATCCAACATTTTTAGATTTTTTTATTTTAATTTAAAAATGTTATAGTGTTAAAATCATACAAATTTTATTTTCCTTCTGTTCATTTTTTAACTCTACCAAGTAATATTAGATGGAAAGAAATTTAGGCTTTATTTGGTTTGAGAAATTTTTTTTGTTTTTTGGTTTTATTTTTATTTTTATTTTTATTTTTTTTTGTTTCTAAAAAATATATTTGGTAAACAAAAATAAAATTTTTAAAAAAATGCAAAAATAAGGAAATAAATAAAATATTCAATGATATTACAATTAATGACATCTAATTATAAATATAATATATATTTATTAATTAATGACATTAAAAAGTGTTCAAATATGATAACTTACAAAATACAAGAAAAAAAAGTAATGTAAATCCTTTTTTTTTTCACAATTGAAAACATCCTTTTTTTATTTTCTAAAAGTTTGTTATCATTTTCAATTACAAAATACATTTTTATTCATGTATTTCATTTTTCAAAAAAATAAAAATAGAAAATAGCTTTGTTTTCTGAAACCAAACACTACTTTACATTTTCTTTCAATTTTTTCATCTTTCCAACTAAACCCACCAATTAATGGAAATTAAAAAAACAAAATGTATTAATCATCTTTTCACTTTTCTCCTCTTCCAATTTTTTTTTTTATTTTTTTATCCATCATATTAAGTAAAGCTTAAAACATATCTCAATTAGTTCATACAATCAATCTTAAAAGATTGCATCTAATAAGTTTAAAATTTAAATCCAAACACTTGCAATCTCATCTCCTAACCTCAAGCTATGACATATTTTGTACCAAAAAATTTATCATATACTTCCTAAAAAACAAATAAAAAACCATTAGACCAATCTTGAGTATCAATATTCAAGTTCAATTTTTTTTTTTAACATTTATTTATAATCAAGATTTAGCCAAATATATTCAAGCTTCAATAATTCTAATTAATTAGCTTAAACGTCTGTAATCATCGAATTTATGGACTAGCTTCATCTTAACCATCACTATTCAAATTAGGTACTAACTTTGCTGTAATTCATAAAGGGAAAAAAAGTTCACCCCATTATTTTTTCAATACATGTGATATTTCTTGTTTTGGTTTTGTAATCTTCTCTCTTTTTTTTTCCTCTAAAGATTTACGACCAAATTGAGAAAGGTACTTCTCTTTTATCATTCAAGTTAGTGTAGCAACGTCAAGGGAAGTTTGCATTTGGCTTTTTTTTTCTTTTAATGTTTTAAATAGTTTTTGAATTATTGTGAAATGTTTAATATAATTGAATTTTAAAAATTTCTAACATAATATATAAATTATAAATCTGTTAATTACACAGTACTTTAAAGATTATTAGTCTATCATGTGTCATTTTTTGAAATTAATCATATTAAGATGAGTATCATATTAACTAATAAATTTGTGGTTTGATTATCACATTAGAGATTTCTAAAATTAAATATCACATTAAATATTTTATTATAATTTAAAAATCATTCATGATTTTTTTTATTTTTTGCAAACAGAGGAAATTAAAAGATAAAGGATCATTAATAATCGAAAAATGGCACTTGAAATTTGACTCATCTTTGCTTGCAATCACATTCATATCTCTCTTATTGGGGGAGGGGGGGGGGGGTGGGGTTGGAGCTAAATCACTAAAAATGAAAGAAGACTAGCTACCACCCAACAATAATTTTCCATCGAGCCAAGCAATCTTCAACTATCATCTATCATGACCTACCTATTTTATGACCCTCTCCACTAATAATCCTAAAACATGTGAAAATTTATACCAAAATATCAGTCCTTACTAAAATATCAAAAAAAAAAAAAAAACCCATAAATTTTTCCTCAAATGTGCAAATTGTCGGACAACGACAAATTAAAAAACGGCAATTGAAAAAAAAGAAAACAAGAAAAAGAAATTGTTATTATAATATACAAAAGAGCTAGCTCCAAAAAGTCATATAAATAATCAACAGAGAAAAGAAAAAAAAAAGTTTAAGGGGGACAAAAACCATATCATCTGGTTTAGAAATAACATGTATCGATCCCTAGACAAAGGGCAGCAAAGCCAATCTGAAATTTTGGATATATTATCTTAAACAGTAGCAGTAGCAGTCATGCACGTCACGTGCCGCATGTGCTCTCTTTCTGATAATCACATGCACGTTCTTTTGTGCTTTGCTTTCCATGGTATATCTCCACATGCCTGTGCCTTGCTTCATTACAATAATTCACATTTTCAAAATACCCCTCTCCCCCTCATAATGCACATATACGGTGTACTTTTTAGTGTACTCTTTTTTTAGGCTCTTTGTATATTAAAGAAAAGCATTTTAATATATTTAAATTCTAGTTTTGAAATTTTAACCATTTATTTATTGATACAACTCAAAATATTATATCGATCTTAATCAAATTAATTACTTATCATCCTGTTTAGTTTTATAGATATTATTTTCAAATTTAAGACGATTTAAGGCATTTAGGCAATAAAGGATTTTTTTTAGATGGTTTTTGGCTTGTATTCTAAAATTTATGGCAAAAAAAAATTTGAGCCACAAAGGGAAAATTCCACCCAATATATACTTATACAAGTATCTTCTAATTCTTTATTACACTAGTATAAATGATTTTAAGTTTCCTTACTTCCTTTGGTCTCTTCCACACCATCGTCAAGTTAATGCTAAAAGCATAAAATCAAAGCAAGACAACCAAGCAAGCACATTGACCTCAAGTTTTGTTCTAGCAATTTGCCCATGAGATCCATTGGTCAAGTTGACAACAAAGTATATTTATTTTCCTTTTCCTTCTTTTTGGGTATTTAATATGATGATACTTACTCAATTAACAATCTTTTGAATCCAATATTCAAAACAAGTACCTGCATAATTAAAATTTTTTGTGCAAAAGAAATTAATAAGAATACATATGTTTCATGATAATTAATTTTGTTTATTGGAAAAATAAGGATTCAAACTTGATTTTCTGAATAATGGATACACAATAAGTCAACCTTACATTGAACCAATTTACCTAAGGCTTTGGCCGCCTATGTATAAAAAAAAAATGTAATTTTGAAGTCTATATTAGACGATATTGTTAATTAATTTTAACTAATCTCTAGATAAAGATGGAATAAAATAAAAAATAATTGAACTCAATGATTACTTTAATCAATTCATGCAACTATTTTTCAAAAATAACATTTAATAAATCAAAATTTAAATCCCAGCTTCTTTAATATTTTTATTTTAAAATAAAATCTTCTTTATAAAAAAAATTCTTGCACAAAGAGAAAAAATTTTGGTTCAAAACTAAAATTTTTATATTTTTTTAAATTTTCTTAATCATTAAATAAAAAACTGAAGACATAACTTCACTGCTTTAAATCTTTAATTATCACAACCAAAAAAGAAGAATATTTGGGGTTTTACTCATATGTATAATCATCAAAATATTTATGTAAATTAGAGTGGACCCAATGGAAGAGCAAATGTCTAGGATCAGGAGGACAGTTACATATCACCACAATGAACACCTAATCTCTGATATTATACTTTCCCTTATTTCACTCCTGACTTTGCTGCACTATTAGGCAAGTTATATATGAGCTCTCAATGTAATTTCTTGAACTCTTCACTCATTGATTTTATAATTTTAATTTTTTTTTACTTTACTCCTATAAAAATGTTACATGCAAAAAACGATGTCTAAGTTGGGTTTAATTCCATTTGGTTATATTTCACTGAAATCCATTCCCAGTAATTTGGGTCCTCATTCCTCATTACACTGAGACATGGTATGAATCTTTTATTCTTAATCTGATTTTGATTGATGCACATATACATGGCTCTTAGATAAGTAAACTTGCAATTCTGATTTAAGATTTTTATTCAAATCTTACCTTACTTTGAATTATATAAACCAAAAATGCTTTCTTTTTCCTTTGATCTATTTATGTGTTGAATTATTAACAATGATCTCTTTATGTCTTAAAATGTTATGACAGTTGCCTATATGAAAATATAAAAAATGATTGTAAGTGTTGTGATATAAATTTTAAATACATTAAATATTATTTTTTAAAATAATTTTATTAATCAATTAAATTAAATTTTAAAATTCAAATAAATTTGAATTTTAAAACTTAATAAAAAAAAAGGAAAAAGTTAGAAAAGAAAAGATTAGGTTAATGAAAAAGAGGTTAACCAACCATTTCCCTCTCATGTGCAAATGCATTTTAGGTATGGACACAACATCTTTTCTCTCACCAATTGGCTCCATAAAAGTGTTTGCACCCATTTGCTTTATATATAATTAATCATCTATCCATCTAGCTCAACAAAAAAAAAATTTTTTTCCTTTTTCTGATATTATAAGAAAAAAAAATTATAGAAAAAATCTAGTGGTAGCATTTATGAAAATTAAAAGCAATTCTAAAATCTGCCAAATGGGCAAAATTCAATTAGGACTGCACTTTCCCTTTTTTTTTTCAAATTGAACTACAAAATTCTTTTCTTTCTTTTTTTTTTTAAGTCTAAAATTTCGGAAAGGGCTACAATTCTTTTTAGAAGCTTTTTTCTTCTTTTGAAATTCTAACTAAATTATTTGCCGCAAAGTGGGACCACCATGATGATGGATCAAGAAATTATCACCACCACCACCGTTGGATATGCTGAAAATTGAAGTTTGGTTAATAAACTGTTGATGCTGTGCTCTTTGCAACTCCTTTTGCCTCCTAAGCTCCAAAACTTTCCTATGCGAATTCGAATGCTTTGTCGACATAAATGTCGGACTTGCAGCGGGTCGGTATTCGGGCACCAACCGACCTGACTTGTACCTTACGCCACACGCATTACAAAGCGTTTTTGGACCCATCGGCCCGGTCCTCCATTGCGGGGTCTTCTCCGCCGCACAATGTAAACATTTCCGGCCCTGCGACTCCGAATTGGCGTTCGGGTTCTCCCTTTTCTTCTGGCCTGTGGATTTCGGGGTTTGGTGGAGGAGTCGTGTCGACCAATCGCACGGGGCGGCCCGTGAACGTTTTGACCGGGCCTTGCCCGGAAGCGGAATGCTGTGTTGGAAAATTGGGTTGGTTGGGCTCCGAATTAAGGAATCGGGTCGGTTACCTGAAGAGGAGGACATGGGTGTGCGTGCTTTTGACGTGGCGAAAATCTGGACGTTGCTTTGTAAATTCTGGTCTATTGAGAACGAGTCCTCAACGAAATTTGAGAGCCATTCAAGTTCCGCCAAGTCATCACACTGCAAACAAAAAATAAAAACAAATTTATTTTCCAAAATTCAATTATAAACTTACTTTAAAAAAAGTAGAATTTTTAATTAAATTATTATTCAGTAGGTTTAGAAGAAACGAGTGTTTGTCTATTTTTACAGTTTTTTTTTTATAAAACGACGCAAAATTAGGAAAATCTACCAGAACATTTTGTTTTGTTATTTACCGGAACGCACAGTTCGCCGGAAAACTGAGAGGAGTGAGGTAAATTGGAGGAGGAGAAGTGGTTATCGCCTCCGGAAACGGAGGAATTGCATGTGACAGTGGAGGAATCGGTGGAATTGCCAGCGACATTGTCGAAGAAGCCGTCGCTGATAACGGCGTCTTCATTGGAGAAGTCGAGGAGATCGTCGACGGTAAAATTCTCCGTAAGCTTTTGCTCCGAGGACATCCTTTTCTCCAGCGATAAATCACCGCCTGTTGAGCCGCCGTAGTATCCTTTTACGAAGAAGTTCCCTGCCTCCATTTAGCCTTACAATTTACAACTTCTTCCTATATACGTATATATGAAAAAGGTATAGCTATAGTAACGCACTTCTGGTATTTTTAGAGATAGAAAATGAGAAACAGGCTTTAGAGAGAGAAAGGTTTGATGTCTGAGATAGAGAGAGTGGAGAATGAAGGAGGAGGAGTGGGTTTTGAGCAGTGAAGGGAAGGGCAGAATTGTAAATATGAGGAAATTGAAGCATCTTTTACATGCAAGCAGGGAATTAATTTAATAATAATGAGAAGTGACTTGCAAGCTCCTTAAAGGGTTTTTTATTTAAACTTAATTAAATTAGATTATGTTAAGAAATTTTTTTTTTTTGGAAAGTAAAATATGTTACTTCAAAGTATTTTTTAGTTTTATTGGAGGGGTTTTTACTAACTTTTTGGGGCTTTTTTTGGTTTGGTTTTTGTTTTGATTTGGTGAAGTTATGAGTTGGCAAATGGTACGCTTTGACCTTATAAAGTGTAGGTAGCATTGCTTTAGACAAAGGTAAACAAATTTGAATAATTGGGTAATTTTAACCCTAAAAGTGATTTGGGCTAACTTTGAAGCTAGATAATTAATGCTTCTTTGGACTCAAAATAATTTTAAAATTTAGTAAGTAGATGAATTTATCGATTTCATAAAATTATTTTTAAAAATAATATTTAATAAATTTAGAATTCAATTAATAATATTTTTAATTTCTTTTTTATATTTTCAAATTACATCATCTTTAAAAAAAAAAACACTTAATAGATAAATATTGGTATTACTCTTTTTAAGCTTTCAATTTTAGTCTTTTAAGGTTGTTCATTTATCATTTAATATAAGAGTAGGCACATTCATTCACTTTGAATATGAAAAACATATTGAGAAAATGTTGATGATGCAAAATTAAAGCTTAAATTGCAAAAAATACATCCTCAAAAAACAAAAAGATGAAAAAACTTATTCAACATTATTAAAAAATCCAAGCTCCGATGGGTTTCCCTTTTGTAAAACTTAAGAAAAATCTAGTGTTAAAATTTTGAGGAAATAAATAAGATTTCTTAAAATGATCCTTACAACTTAGAACAGCAATTTCAATTCATTAGCCAATAAATTGTAAAATGATTGGAGACTTTTTTTTTTAAATATGTTAAATGGAGGCTTTATTTATTAGTTAATAGTTTGATATTACAAAACATAAAAGCAAAAAATAATAATAATAAAAAGCTTATAAAGTTTGTTCTAAATTTTGATAAATAAGGCTAATTCAAAACCATAATAATAAATTTAAAAATTCGTAAAAAAAATGTGAAGCTTTTAGTTTTTCTTTGTTTGAATATATATAGATTTCCAGTTAATAAAAGTTCCCAAGAAAGACCCAAAAAAAAAAAATACAGCAAGATGATTTTCAACAAAGTGTAAGATGTAGCTAGGAATAATTGTGGCAGCTGTCACTTAAAAGGGCAACAGATAGGCCACAGACAACTGTTACCCTCCCTTCAAAATTCAAGCTACCTTCCTTGGGTGCTTTAACTTTCCCACTTTAAAACCTCCCCCTCTTAATTGGTATTATTACGGAAAATAATAATTATTTATTTAAATATTAAGTTTATTAAAAATTTTACATTATTTAGAAGAAAATATTAATAAAAGTATATTTTAAAATGAAAAACATTAATAGCATGCTTATAGTGATATTTATAGAAAATATTTTGTTATTAATAATTTATTATTCTTTCTTGAATTTATTAAAAAAATTATTTTAAATAAATAATTTTTTTAACGGAAGATAAAAACATTATTTTAAGAAAATTTAGGTAAAATACACTTATTCTAAAATTTGATAGAAAATACACTTACCTTATTTTAGTTTGAAAGAGTTCATCTTACCTTGAAATTTGGTTAAAAATACATTAACTCCCATAAAATGAAATTTACTAATTACATTTCAAGAGGGTTAAGTGTTTTTTTTATATCAAACCTCAGGGTAATAGTGTATTTTCAAACTAATGGAGTAAATGTATTTTTTTATTAAATCTCAAAAGATAAATATAGTTTTTTTTTTCAAAGTTTTTACATTTAATACATTATTTTCATCAAAATCAATAATAAACTAAATATTAATTATACTTATTTTTTGTAAATATCACCTTATCTATCGATATTGCTTAACATTTTTTTAAAGAAGTATTTGGTTTATAAATTTTAAATTTAGAAGATAAAATGATTTTGATAGAAAGTGATATTGAAAAAGAATGTGCGATTTTAAATTTTATTAATTTAAAAAATGTAATATTTTTATATTTGATTTAAAAGAATATAAGATCATCTAATAAAATATTTTATTATATTATCCTTAATGACATATGAATAGCATGTGATATTTATAATATGTGATATGTGAATAACATATGACATGTAAATAACACATTGTCTTATTTTTAATTATATATTTCTCAAAATATATTAAATATTTTTTATAAATAATTTTTTATATATTTTTAACAAAAATCGTAATTTTTATTTTAAAACATCGTTTTTATTGAATTCTGATTTTTTTTTCATTTTAATAAACTGGGTTTTTTATCTCAAAAATGTTATACCTATTTAATTTTAAAAAATAATTTTTTATATTTTTTATAAATATTACGTTTTTATCTTAGAAATATTATCTTTGTTAAATTCAAAAAAATAAATTTTTTATATTTTTAATAAAAATTATGTTTTTAATCATAATTTTTGTTAGGTATTTCAATAGCATTGAATCATTGTTTGAAACATAAAAAAGATTAATTTTTTACATAAAAACGTTGTGTATATGAACAAAAACTAGTTTTTTTATTTAAAAACATAATTTTTGTTGAAACTATAAAATTTTGAAAAAAAAATTATCATAATATATCAACAAGTAAAATATAAAAAAACAAATATAATTTTTGTAATATATTTTCAGCAAAGATAATTTTTTAATTTTAAAAACAAAATCTTTATTAAAAATATAATAAAGACCATATTTTTAATCTAAAAAACATTATTTAAGTTTAAAATATATTTAAAACAATTTTTTTATAATATTTTATAAAAAAAATTACTATATTTCTAAGGTAAATAACATTGTTTATATAATTCAAAAATACAATTAAGTAATGACAAATGAAAAAAAAATTTACTTTTCCCTCTGGAATTTTAAACGACCTCAAGTAGCGAAAATTTTTTCTTCCCCCTACTTTCCCCTTCTCAACACTATAGGGAATTTTTAAAAATTTTAAAAATCATATTCAGTGAACCAAACTGAAAAATTAAAGTACGAAAAGTAAGATTCTGAGCAAAAATCTTACTTTCCTCGAAAACAAACGTTCCTTAACTGAAGAGTTATTTACATTAAAAATTTAAGTAATTTTAATAAAATATATACTTGCTACTCTCTTCGTCTCAAATTATTTGAGTGTTATTGATTTTCATAGAATTTAATAAAGAAGTTCTAACTTTAATATATTTAATATTAAATATTTTTAAAAAATTAAAGTATCAAGATTTTTAATGAAAAAAATCATAAAAAGTAATTTTAAAATATATAAAAAAAGAGTTTTAAATGTTAAATAAAATAGAACATAAATTTTAGACATTTCAAAAAGAAATATGACAAAGAAAATGGGATAGAGTGAGTTTTTTTTTTTTTTTTTTTTGTATAAATCCATGTACTTACTATATTTTTTTTAGGAGAGATTGATTTACATAGTATCAAATTAAAAAAATCTTATATTTTTTTTAACTATTGATTTTAATATATTTAAGATATGAGAAAAACAAGTAAAAATAAGAAGAAATTGTTTAATCTCATCCATTAGATATATTAAAATAAATTATTAAAAAATATGCAAAATTAAAAAATTTTGTATAGTTAATTAAATTTTCCTATACTTACTATACATGTTATTATGCTTGTTTTATTTTTTTAATTTAAAACTAAGGTTGACAACGGATCAAGTCGAAGTGAGTATTTGCTTGTTTCAAACTCCATCTAATTTTATAATCATAAAATTTGAATCTGACTCAATCCAAAATTTTTTTTATTTTTTTAATATCGAAATTCGATTTGATCCGATATTGTATAAATCATATCCAATTTGATCCGATCAGATCCAAAATTAATAAAATATTATTTTTAAAATATAAAATATTATTTTTAAAATATAAATATATAAATAATTAATTAAAAAATAATTTTTATATAATATCGAATCGGATTGAATTTACTTAAAACTCGAACATAATTAAAAATTTAATTTTTAAAAAATAAAAAAAAATTAATTTTATAAAATCGAATTAGATCGAAATCCACTGAAAATGAATTGGACGACCAACCTTATTTAAAACAAAAAATTAAACATATCTTATAATAAAATAAAAATACATATAATTAAAATTGAACGAAACCATTGGCTATTAATTAGTGAAGTGGTTAACTAAATTCAACCCCCGAAAAGGCTAAGAAAGTAAGAATCGATGCTTTGCAGGTTTTATCGAGTGATTCACCTCCCCCCCCCTCTCCTAGTGTCCAGGTTTACAGCCGGATACCTTCGCCCTTTGCAATTTTTTTTTTCTCTGGGGAACCGTGCTTCTTCTGGCATTTTTGTTTTACTTGTTTTTTTTATTGTGCCGTCTTCTATAAAACGTTTGTTTTTTGAGCTGAATTAATTGTGCATTTCTACCTCCATTTGGCCAATCATAACCAGTTATTTTGTTCCTTGCCCACGTTTAAGCACGATGGTTACAGCTCATCTTAATCATAAACGACGGTCATGATCTCTTCCACGTGGCTACAATTTTAACGTTCTAACTTATTTCTCATTTCCCCCCCCCCCATCAAACAAAAAGGCCACCTTATGATAGACGTAGTTTCATTTTTTTTACCGTAGTAAAATCTGTAAAAATTTCCATGTAAATAAAGTTAGCTGAGTGAAAATCGAAATACTCCCTTTATATTTTCTCTTCTCCCTTCGTCAAAATGGAAAATTATCTATTATATTTTAAATTATTATTTTGTTAAACAAAATGGTATAAAAGAGTACTACAAACCAAAAAAAAAAGTTTTTTATAGTCAATAAAATGAATTTGGTAAATTATTTTCTA